TGTAATTATTTATTTAGTAATTTAATTTGTAATAAAATAAATAAATAAATAATTTTTGAGATAAATAAATTGCTAAGAATGAAAAGTTGAAGAAAATGATGAAACGATGTTCATTTGGTGTAACTTTGGTATATTGGGTTGGAGATAATTTTCAATTTAGTGCAAAATTTACCTCAAATTTTGGTGCAGAACTAAAGATGGTCAAAGCATTTCCATTTGTTGCATAACATGTATTGTAAGTGTGGATAATATATTAGTTATTAAAATTATAATGTGATAAAAAATGAGTGATAAATAATTTCTGGTTAAAACTAATATTTATTTTAAAGAGTTGATTATAATTTATTAATAATATTTCTCAAGGATCGAGATGCTTTGTCAAACATGTAAAAGGCCTGGCAGAACAAATGTGAGATAGGGGGTGGGTGTTTAACATTTGGGGTGGGGTGGGGTGGGGTGGGGTGGGGTGGGGGGTGTTAATGAGGTGGGTCCTCGCATGTGAGAGCAATTGTTCTACCAGGCTTTTACAAGCTTGGAAGAGCAACATTACATAGGCATATATGAAGGCGTTTTTAACCAAGTATGATGACGGGGAAATACGCAATTAGACTACTTTTAAGGGTAAACTAACATTTATTTGATAAGTTATGCTGTGATAAAATGAAAATTTTATAATAAAATATCATTTAGAGGGTGTTTGGTGGGGATTAAAATTAGATTTTTAGTGGATTGTGAAAGAAGTTTTTGAAATGTGTGGTTGAAAAGATGTGGGACCCATGAAAGATGTGGTTAATATTGATTGTTTGACTTTAATTTGGATTAAAATCAAATTTTAATCTGGCCCAAACAGGCCCTTAATGTTATTGCATTTATTTGATATCGAGCATGTGGATAAAGTGCAATAATCATTTGTAGCAATAAATTTTTTTATGATCAATGTATAAGAATTGACACCTTGTCTTGAAATGTCGTAGTATTGATTATTTTACTATTCAAATTTGTGCTTTATCTTTATCGTAGAAATAGTTTCATGTTGACACAGTACACTTGGATTGTATTGAAAATCGTGTCTAGTTCAATTGTATAGTAAGGCTATGCAGATAATTAAATTTCACTAAAATGTCAAGTATTTTATTTAAATTTTTTGACATTGTTGTGTACATCTTTTTGTGAGTTTATAATAGTTCTTTGATTCACCAATAAATGAGATCAATTTGATTGATCAAATACTCAATTTATATGTTGAACGGTTATAAATTTGAATTCAGTATTTAATGATGGCTAAACTTCTTCAGCTGTGATTAGTTCACAAGATCGCTGAAGGAAATTATATTTAATTTAATGAAAATAATTAGAGAGACAAAATGATCATATGCTTGTATCTAATCATCGAAACTTGAATGGGGATAAAATATATATAATTAGGTTGGATGATTTAGGGTTGACTATACATAATCTAATTATTAGAGCTTGAAAAAAAATTATATATATATAAGAATATGTCTTTTGTTAACTCTATAAAGTCTTGGACCCAAATTGCAATCGCTTTGAAAGTTTTGGACTTAATTGTCATTAGAATTAAAGTTTAGAAACTACATGTGCAATTAAACCAATTTGATAAATGCTGAACAAAACTTCCGAATTGAATCGGACATAAATCGAACAGTTCGATTTGGTTCTTTTTAGGTTAATTACTGGTATGGGTACCAAAATTGAAAATCGATGAATTTGTTCAGTTCTCGATTCTAGACCAAGAATTGAATAAAAATCGAATCTTCCTAATTTTTTTTTATATTGAATAAATCAAATTATATTGATTTTTTTCTAAATAAATTTGCTAATTAATTAATTAAGTGATTAACTGTAAGTGTCTAAGGCTCCAACTTCCAAGGACCAAGTTCACCTTGAGCCCAAAATAATTTTTTTTCTACAAATTTTGGTCCAAGCCAACTTCACTTCACAATTTGCCTAACAAATTTAGGTTTAGCTATTGTCTTCGTTTTCAGCCGCTCCACTCTCACAAGTTATGACTTCATTTTTGCTCGTCAAGATCATCGATATTTTAGGATTATTAATTACTTTTTGGTAATTTATATGCATTGGTGAATGGATATTTTTAGATAATTTTTTTATTTGTAGATTTTTAAATTAAACTATATTATTTTGTAAAAGTTAAAATTGAAAACATCATTGGTTGTATTATGTTGTTGTACGGAACCGAACTAAACCGAATCGAACAGAAA